ACATAAAAACCCCAAGGAAATTATTAGCTATATTACACTATTCATAAACACCTGCCACATAAAACCCAAGGAAATTATTAGCTATATTACACTATTCATAAACACCTGCCACATAAAACCCAAGGAAATCATTAGCTATATTACACTCTCATAAATACCTGCCACATAAAAACCCAAGGAATTATTAGCTATATTACACTATTCATAAACACCTGCCACATAAAAACCCAAGGAAATTATTAGCTATATTACACTATTTATAAACACCTGCCACATAAAAACCTAAGGAAATTATTAGCTATATTACACTATTCATAAACACCTGCCACATAAAAACCTAAGGAAATTATTAGCTATATTACACTATTCATAAATACCCACCACATAAATATTTGTAGCTTTGCCAACAAATTAATTTTTAGAGATATCATCATTATATCTTTTAAATAAAATGAAAATCTTTATTTCTAGAAAAAAATCAACATTTTGTGCAGTGTGACGCTATTATTGATTGACAGCTTTGAAGAATTTATAGTGGAAGACTTTGAACTTGTAGAAACAAGTAATTCTGAAAGGTGAGTAAACATTTGATGAAACTGAAGACTAAGATATAACTAGCAGGAGAGGAAACATTCTCTAAGTAATGTTGGATTGTGTATTAACTAGCAAAGATGTGGTCTTGTTTTGTTATTGTGGAAGCTAAGATGTGGTCATGCTGTGTTATTGTGGAAGCTAAGATGTGGCTTCCACAATAACACAGCAAGATTAAGATGGGGTCTTGCTGTGTTAATGGTGAAAGTTAAGATGGGGTCTTGTTGTGTTATTGTGAAAGTTAAGATGGGGTCTTGTGTTATTGTAGGAGCATAGATGGAGTCTTGTGTTATTGTAGAAGCATAGATGGAGTCTTGTGTTATTGTAAAAGCTAAGATGGGGTCTTGTGTTATTGTAGAAGCTTAAATGGAGTCTTGTGTTATTGTAAAAGCTAAGATGGGGTCTTGTGTTATTGTAAAAGCTTAGATTGAGTCTTGTGTTATTGTAAAAGCTTAGATGGAGTATTGTGTTATTGTAAAAGCTAAGACGGGGTCTTGTGTTATTGTGAGAGCTAAGATGGGGTCTTGTGTTATTGTAGAAGCTTAGATGGAGTCTTGTGTTATTGTAAAAGCTAAGATGGGGTCTTGTGTTATTGTAAAAGCTAAGATGGAGTCTTGTGTTATTGTAAAAGCTAAGATGGAGTCTTGTGTTATTGTAAAAGCTAAGATGGAGTCTTGTGTTATTGTAAAAGCTAAGACGGG